AAATAACAAACCAAACGATGTTAACAAAATGACGTAGAAAGCGCAACTAGATCAAAATTATACAAGCACAACTAGATCAAATTATAATACCTGAGTGCTTGACGTAACAGATATAGAAATAGAATTTGATACCATAAAAAATTATATAGAAATAGAAATTGATACCATAAAAAATTTATTCGTTTTCGTGTTCTTTTCATGCATTTAGCATTTTAGTTTTTTTTTTCTTAAGCGTTGTAGGGACAGGAACACTTTAATTGTCCACTAATCTTCAGATTTCCGGCTATGTTTTAAAAAACTTTATTTGTGAAAACCTTTAGCTTGGCGGACAGCTGGGCGCCTTTGGCGGCTAGTATTAAATAAGTACATGTCAGGTAGTGATAGCAAACAATAATCCAAATTCGTATTTATACTATACATTTTAATTTTATTTGTCAATTTACCGATACAAACATCTATTTCAATTAAATCAAAATCATGAATAGTGCCTTGTGTTTGTTGTAATGGCACTTAATATTTTTCTTCAATTTTTCTATATTTGATATTTTTTAATAATTTTGATGGAACAATTGATATTGTTCCTCCAGTATCACAAAGGGCCGGAATTTCAATTTTTGTGCCATCACTTCCCGACATAATCATATCACAAAAATATAAAGAATTTAATTGTCATTGATCATTAATACCATTTTCAAGATTTTTGTCACGTTTGTTTTGAGAAGAATTATCATTAACATTTTCATTCTTTTTGTCATATTTGTTTTGGGAAGATTTATCAGAAACAGTTCCATGGTGAGTTTTTTCAGTTGATCGTTTCATTTCATTACCATTATATTTAGAATGATTACTATACTGATTGAAACCAGCTCTATATGGGTAATTATAATTTCTTCCCATATAATGCTGTTGATCAGTTTGACTGACCGGGACAACTCGGATAATTATTTGAAAAATTTCTTACTACTTGTGGTGCATTATATGCAGCGCGTCTCTGCAAAGCAGGAGAAAATTGTTTCGGTTTAGTACCTGTCTGTTTATTAATACCGATTCTTAAAGATTCAAATTCATCTAGTTTCTCTGCCAAATTTAAAGAACTATTCATAGAATTCCATGTATCAAGAAAATGTTGCTTTACTTCATTTGGTACTCTAGTTTTGATTTGGTTAGCAATAATTAATTCCTTCAATTCTTCAAATGATTCTATCTTTAGATCAGCTAACCAATCATTAAAGTAAGCAGATATTTCATTGAAAAAATCGCGCCAAGAATCTTGAGATTTTTCATGAGTTGAAAAGAATTTAAAATTTAATTGCTCTGGATTAAGTTTATACCTTTTTAATAATAAGGTTTTCATGTGTGAATAATCATGAACCAATTCACCCGGTTCCCGTGTTAGCTGGTTAACAATATCATGGGGTAACGGATTCAATAAATAAATAACATATTCAGTTTCGGGAATATTAGCCAATTTGGCCTTAGTTTCGAAATTTTTTAAATACAAAAATATCTCATCTTTATGGGGGTCAAACGGTTGTGACAATCTCATTAAGGAAATGTTTACATTAGATGAATTTACACTTGAACATTTTTCTTTATCATTATTTTGAAAGCTTAATTTATAGAGTTCAAGTTCTTGATTTTTAGTCTTTAAAATTTGTAGTTCTTACATTTCTTTCTTTTCTTCTAACATACGACTTACAATTTCTTTGGTTAACCCCTGATTGCAGGGCTCGAAAAGTCGCCCGTCCGCCCGTCCACGGCAGTCAAAAATTCCCCGCGGACAACGAATTTCTCGAATCCAACGTCCGCGCGGACTGCCATTTTCCCGTTAATGTTCATGATACATTTTCAATTTTTGTTACCTTACAAGAGTCTAGCGCCCCACTTCTAAAATGACCCTAATCTAGAAATACAGCAACATACTGCGTATGGTGGAATTAATGTTTCCTCTGTCTGGGAGTACTGTAGCGGCTGAAAGGGGCTTTTCAGCAATGAACTTACAAAAAAACACATTACGTACTGGTCTTAAACAAGAAACGTTAAACGCAATTATAAACATCTACCTAAATGCAAAGCCCCTTTCAGATTTCTGTGCAGAAACCTCTGTAAATCATTGGCTTGATTGTGGAACTGGCAAACGTCATATTTGATTCATTTAAAAAAACGCAGCACCCGCGGATAAATTGACACTCCAGATAACTTGACTTTTATCATTTAAATTATTTCATAAAATAAATACTAGGTTACTATTAGTAACCTAGTATTTCTCTTATTACTGTATAATGTAATCCTAGTATTTGTAATCCTAGTAACTACTAATTCATTGTGCAATTTATATAAATATTTGTAATAAATGGGAGAAAATTATGTTTTTATTTATTTAGAAGCTACGGGTTAGTTTAAAATGAGGATGGGTACATTGTTGGACATGCCGTCCTCGGAGACGGGTAAAATTTCTGAGTTTTTTCGAGCCCTGCCTCATTGTAATTCTCATCTGATGTTTTTTTTTCCTCCTGATTTCGGAAACTGGTTCGGTATCACTTACTAGTATTCCAAACTCATCTGCCAAAACAATTAAATCAGCTTTTACTAGTTTACCTAAATAGGTATATAATGTATATAAGGCCCTGTTTCTCCAGTGAAGCTCCGCCCCTTCCCTGCCGACAATTATGTTCTTTGATGTGCTCCCTTGATCGCCTCATAGATCGCCGCATATTGATCGCCTTGATCGCCATTACTCTATGGATCGCCTGCGTTGAATCGCGCCTTGGCGAATCTTGTTGGCGTCACAGATCACGATACGGAAATATCCCCAGGGAAATTTCATTATACGTCTGAAGACAGAAATTATCATCGCAAATATTATTTAGAATTTTCTTGTACTCATGACTATGCATTTAAATCTTTGGTGCAAAAGTTATTTCGACAAGAAGTGTCTAAATTTACAAACAGTCTCAGAAAATCTCTTCATAATGTTTTTGTGAAAAGTGTGTTACTTATGAAATATGCTATTTGAGCAATATTTGTCTTGTTTGAGCAGTGTTTAGACTAACATAAAAGTTTATTTTGTTAACCTGTTAAGCAACTAACAATAGTAATAGGTTAGGATAACTAAATTTTTATGAGGCATATTAACTAAATGTTTTGTCCACACTAATTTTAAACATACGCATCTCTGTGCATATGATAAAATATTTGTTGAAAAATCTAAGTTTCAATCTGTAACGTGTAATTTAATTTCTCTAATTTTACTTTCGTAACGTGTAATTAATAAGTCCATATCATTAAGCCTTCCTTATATTATTAGTTTCTTAAGGTTAGTTTTTGTTTCTTAAGGTTAGGTTAGTTTTGTTCTATCCTTAGTTACTTGTTATTCAGAAAATCGTATTTCTTATAAAATATTTATTAGTTTGTTTTTAAAATGTAATTGTTCTGATAAATTTACCATTTGAAGCATAAGTAATAATCACATTTGTGTGACCTTATTTTCAACTTTAATTGGTTACAACAATTTTATTTAAAGGCACACATTTATACACATGGGGATATGAAATGAACTGAGACTAATATTTCTAAGTATTAGACGACCATTCATATTGGGGATAATGAGAATACTTATTCTTGTCTAGCATGTAATAAGAGTTTTTCATAGAAAGTAATCTAACTGACCGGCAGTCGGACTGATACTGGTTAATAACTTGATTCTTGTAATATACGTAATAAGAGTTTTTCACGAAGTAATGTGACTGAATACAGTGTGAAGCCTCCTTCTTGTAGCATATATGCAATAACAGTTTTTCCCATAGAAGTGACACAACTAAGCACTATCATGTTGAAATGGGTGAGAAACCTTTTTCCTGTAATCTATGTAAGAGAAGTTTTTCACAAAGAGGTAATCTGACTAGACACAGTCATGTTCATACGTATGAGAAACTTTATTTTTGTAGTATATGTAACAAGAGTTTTATACAAAGTGATCTGACTATACACAATCGTGTTCACACTGGTGAGAAACCTTTTTCCTGTAGTATATGTAATAAGAGTTTTTCAAAAAGAGGTCATCTGACTAGACACAGTCATATTCATACGGATGAGAAACCTTATTCTTGTAGTATATGTAACAAGAGTTTTATACAAAGAAGTCAATTGACTGAACACAATCGTGTTCACACTGGTGAGAAACCTTTTTCCTGTAATATATGCAATAAAAGTTTTTCACAGAGAAGTACTAATCTGACTGTTCACAGTTATGTTCATACTGGTAAGAAACCTTTTTTCTGTAGTATATGTACCCAAAATTTTTCAAGCCAATTTTATCTGACTGAACACTGTCGCGTTCACACTGGTGAGAAACCTTTTTCCTGCAGTATATATTATAGGAGTTTTTCAAGCAGAAGTTATCTGACTATACACAATCGTGTTCACACTGGTGAGAAACCTTTTTCCTGTAGTATATGTAATAAGAGTTTCTCACTTAGAAATACTCTAACTATACACAATCGTGTTCACACTGGTTTGAAACCTTATCTATGTAATATATGTCATAAGAATTTTTCAGAATGAAATCATCTGACTCAGCATTATCGTGTTCATACTGGGGTGAAACCTTATTCTTGTAGTATATGTAATAAGAGTTTTTCGCATAGAAGTTCTCTGACTAAACACAGTTATGTTCATACCAATGAGAAACCTTATTCTTGTAGTATATGTAATAAGAATTTTTCACGTAGGAGTCTTCTGACTAAACACAATATCGTTCACACTGGTGAGAAACATTTTTCCTGCAGTATATGCAATAAGAGCTTTTCTCTAAGAAATACTCTAACTATACACAATTGTGTTCACACTGGTGAGAAACCTTATTCTTGTAGTATATGTAATAACAGTTTTTCGCATAGAATTTGTCTGACTAAGCACTTTCGTGTTCATACTGGTGAGAAACCTGATTCTTGTAGTTAATTCTTATAGTTTGTCCTTGTAAACGAATTTTATGCTCACTGTTCTGTTCATACTACTGACTAACTTTATTTTTTGTAAGTTTATTCACATAATGTTTAAATGCTAATATAACCTGTTTATAAGTATAATATAATGTTCATAAGAATAGTATAACTTGATAAATAAACTTGTTCATGATTATTTTCCTTTTACTTAGAAATCTCACTCCCTAACATTATATAACAAGTTTCATAGATAAATATTTTAACTGTCTGCAAATTTGTCCAGAGCATCTACTACAAATTGAAGGTTAGGTACCAATTTTTTAAATTAGTAATTCAGTTGGGCAGAGCTGGTATTCCATATCATGGGGCTTAGAAATGTGAGAAATAGTGATTTTACTGAGTATCGTCTGGATATTAGCCTTTCTGGCTCCTGAATCGTAAACTCCGTTTTGTTTGGAAGCAAACCATAGTATTCTTTTTATGCATAATGCCTGCATATTTCACTATTAAAATATTTTTTTTCTGATTCAAATTAAGGGTCATCATAACTTTGAAAAGCTGTCTTATAGGTCTCGCCTAAAAGTTTCTCCCCTACCTGAATGATTGATGGAGTGGGCGGAGGAACTCTATTGTAAAACCGCACCTGTTCCCGTAGATCATTACTCGCCAAATCTTTATGATGCCAACGATGATAAAGGGTCTCAAATGGAAAACCGATTTACCTCGTTTTTGAGAGACATAGTTGATTAATTCTTCCTTTAGTGGGAGAGTGAAACTTGCGAATTTTTCGGATGCACAAGGGATTTTTAGGGATTTGAGTAAAAACATTACACGACATTTCCGAGTGTTTTTGTCATGGGTACCGTTCAAATGACAAGGAGGGAGGGGAACTCCGATGCTAACTTTTTGAAGATTATCTATACATATCGTGTGTCATCGTATATTTTTTATACTTAAATTTAAATTTAATACTGCATTGCATTATCCGATTGAAAATGCTGGGTATAATCAAACTGCAGCATTTCCTTTTTTTTTTTTTTTTTTTGAAACCTCAAAATGATGGTAAAAAAAAAATCAGTATACCACAATGATAGTTATTTATGGAATTCAAGTGAAGATGCAACCGTTCATAAAAGGTGCTTTATGAATAGTAACATGATATTACCATAAAAGATGGTTTATGATTAAAATTTTCTTACTATGCTATATTGAAAAAACTCATAAACATTAAAAGACTCGATTAAAAAATTTTTATTACAAAATAATAAAAAAAAAAGATTAAAAAAAAAGATATTCGTGGCACTTCAGTTTTATAAAGCATTGCTTTCAATTTTTTTCTTCTTTTTTTTAAAAAATAATGCTTTTGTTGCTGTTGATTCATTTGTCGTCGTCGTAAAATGTAGGCGAAAAATTACAAAGAAGGCAGCATATTAATAATCTTTCGACGTAAATTGGAGACAAGTGTCCGTTTTAAAAAAAAAATTCTGATGCTCTAGTTATAAGCAAAAATATATTTAGGTATTTTTTAATTATTAAAAATTATAAAAATGCGTATAGATTGTCAGGAAATAACTTGTGTATTTCTTTTAAAAGCGTTATTCGAAAGTTTTTTTTTTATATAAAATTGTATCAATAATTCTTACTCAAAAGTATATCAATAATTAATTTTGTAATTTCAATAATAAATAATTGTTTTTCTTAATTTAAATCTAAATAAGTGCACATTTGAAGATTGTTTGGAAGTGTCATGTTTAGAAAATTTTAATTTTAACGCAGGAAAAACAATGGTGTTTCATGTTGTATTTCGTAATCAAAAATTATTAAAACGCTAAATATAATATTTTCATTTATTTTGACTTAAATTATTCTAAAATAATGAGAAAAATATAAAAATTCCAGTTAAAAAATTAACGATTTAAAATATTGTAGTGTAAAATAAGTGAAAGAGTAAGATCAGTACAGGAATAAAAAGTATTAAAAATTAACAAAACAAAAAAATTTTCCTTTATGAGCACCTGTTATATTGGGTATGGGTTGATAAGGAATTGAATTTCCAGTTTTGTTTGTAAAAGAGGGGAGAGATAACACCACTATCTTTATCACTTTTTAAGGTTGGATCCAAACAAACAAAATGGCTCAGTTAGAGTATGTCGAATCAATTCGAGGTGGTAAATTAGTTTTATTTAATGAATTTTTATTTAGAATAAGGATGAAACACAGAACGAAAATCTATTATAAGTGTATTTCAGATGATTGCAAAGCTTCCTTAATTCTAGAAAATGATCATATAATACGTCATAAAGCTCAGCATACCCATGCGCCTGATAAGGCGCATGGGTATGCTAAGCTTTACAACTGTGCTGGTTTATCAAAATTTGTATAGCATATAATTATTTAAAAAAAATTACCTATTTCAAACAATGTCAACATCTTTGTGTTTTCATTTGTTATTACATTTTGCTAATGTTCTTTTGTATCGCCATTTTGTTTTCTTTAATGCTCGTCCAGATACTTTATCCTCTTTTAATAGTTCTGATTGTTCCACGCAGTTAAACTTTGTCTGCAGTAATTACTTCCTTATAAATACCAGTTTTTTTGGATTCATTAAATTAAAAAATTCTTTCAGATGTTCTGAATACCCGCCCATGAATATTCCCCGATAGGCCATTATTTTTTTAATCGTTTAATAAAAGTCGTCAAGTCAAATTTACCAAATATTCTAAACTTAAAGGGGAAAAAATATTGATCCTATGTGAAATGGAATTAATAGTAGTTTACATATTCTTCAGATTATTGATTATACAAGTCAATCAATTAAAAATTCTAAAATTGAAACAAATTACAGTTTGTGTATACATTCAAGACTATTTTTAATGCTTACGAACCTTTACGAATATTTTGTGCATTAGAATAATCTCTAAATATCTCTCAATAGATAAAAGTTAAATTTTAAAAAAAAAATTCAGAAATTATTAATTTTTGAGGTCTTTTAAACCTTTAGGATGGACACTTTGTCAGTGATCGTTTGATTATAGTCTATCAAAATTAATTTGGTGTGACTTTAAAATATTCTCACAGATAGGAATGATTTACTGTGGATTATTGATAGACGCTCTACTTCCACATGTTTGTGAGAGTAATTATTTAACAGAGAATACAACTATTGAGTAACAATAATACATACTGCCCTACAATGATGGGCGAGACACTTTCAGATCCAATTTGTGGTTAAATGGTCAGGATCATCAATTTTAATTTCACTTTTTGCCTATTTAGCTATATCTTAAAAACTTAAAAGCAAATGGATTGTATGTCATTACACTTCACAGGAAGACAAAAGCTCTCGAGATCTAGCAAAGTACGCAAAAAGTGAAATTTACTTAAAAGGACTTTTGACTGTTTTTCTGACTAAACTAATGGGACCATTTTTTTCCCCTCGGATTGCGGCTCCCAAATGTCAGCGCTGTCTATGAATTTTTTTTCTATCCTCGAAAAAAACAATTATTACAATTAATATCTCGCTTGAGTTTTCTCAAAATTGTCAGGGAACTGCATGGACAAGTGGAACTTAAGGCATGGCTTTTCATTTCAAGAGATCTAATAATTTAATTATCAGATGAGAAACTTACACTAAATGCATTAATTATAAACGATATCTCAGAGGAAATTTGACTAAAAAAAATTTTTTTTTCATGTTGGCCACTCTTGCCCCCTGGTCTCAGCATCCTCCCTTTTCTCCTACTTATTATAATAACCATATAATATCGATCAATTTAAGGAAACATTTTGAATCCGGTTAATGATATATCGCTAGATAGGTCTTTTCAAGACAAACCGATAAAAAAATTTAAATTTTTTATTAGTTTCAAATCTAAAAAATGTCTACACGTGTTATGAAAAATAAATAAAATTGAGCCTTTTTTTATGGGCACATATGCTACGTTTGAAAGAATCACAATTAAAAAAAATATCTAGGCATTTTTCCTTAGATACATAGATTAAAAAATGAAGTTGCCTTACTTCAGTAAATACGGGGTCCTAAAAATATAGCTATCTTTTTAAAAAAAAGATTCTTTTTTTAATATTTTGCTTACCGAAACTTATGATCAGAATTAGAGGAAAATCTATGTATTCATATTGTAATGTAATCACATATGACAAAACAATCATGACGCAAGACTATTTTTTTTAATATTCCAAAGCAATATAAGAAAAAATCATGCAACTTTTTTTTCTAAAAAAAAACTTTTTTTTAATGGCTTGTTTTGACAATGAATTTTATTTTCTTCCGAGTGAAAAATAAAATGAAATAAAAAAAGAGGCAAAATGAATAAAATTTATGTAGTTTTACGTGTAGTGCTTTCTCATCTTGTTCCAGTTTAATTTATCTGGATTTAAATTGAAATTGATTTTGGTTATCTTCTAAGATTTTGATCAAAAAAACTACGCCGAAAACTTTTTTTCTCCAAATGTTACGGGAGCAAATTATCACATTCTTAAAAATATGTTTTTTGTCTAATTAAAACTGTTTTTATTACAGAGAATAATAAAATCTTATGGAAACTTTTAATGAAACTTCTCTTTAAGAATATTTTTTTGGTATTTTTGTTGTTTAAAATCTAAACTGTAGTTAATTTTTTTGTATTATGATAAAAATTATCATGATTACATAAATTATTGTTGGTGTATAAAGAATTTTTTATATGGTTCATTTTACATAAGAGAGAGAGAAAGAAATTGTGTAACAAATTTGGTGTTTCAGCTCTGCTCTATATAATGTGGTTATCATACAAGTAAAGAATAAAGTGGTAAATTTTAAAAATAAGTAAAGTTTCCGAGTTCATACAATGCATTCTCAATCGTGTTATTTTCATGCTTTTAGAATTAATAGTTCTTTGGTCATTTTTATATATTTATTGTTTTTAAGTATTTGAACTAATGAAAGCAAAAGACCTGAAATTAATTTTAATAAAGATAATGCTGATTAAGAATTGATATTAGAATGTCCCTCTTAAA